ACTTTGTTTTTGTATTTTTCCTCCCAATTTAGTTAAATTATTTACCTTTGTTTTCTTGTAGCTTACTGAATTTTTTAGAACAATTTGTTTGAATGCCTTTTCAGGAATTCAACTCCAATTCTTTGGGACTAGTTATTGGCAGTTTATTTTGTTCCTGTGTTTGTGTCATATTGTCCTGATCCTTCATGATACTTGTAGTCTTGTATAGGTATCTAAGCATTTTAAGAAGCAATCAACTCTTCCAGATTTTATGGACTAGCTTTGGTAAGGCTATCTCTTCATGTGTGTGTATGTGTGTGTCTGTGTACATTAGAGAACACTATGGCACCATGGTTAGTGTATGGTGACTCCTGCTTTGGGGAGAGAGGTGTGATATCTTGTTGGTTGTGGCAGCTTGGGCCTACAACATCAGCATCTGTGTGGTCTTTGTCATGGCAAGGGCTGTGGGAGGTCCATGATAGCTTAGCAGGCTGATGGTATCATTAGTACTCCTGCACCCAGTAACAAGGGACTGGTGCAGACAGCAATGCGGACCAGAGCCAGTGGTGTGCATTGCTCAACTGTGGGGATGTTCATGGTGGCAAGCACTGGAGTAGGGCCAAATGTAGGCATATGGGGCCTGGTGGTGTGCACGTGCATGGCAATAGGAGTCAAGGCAGGTAATGTATATGTGTGCAGTTGTAGGGACCATCTGTAGGTACCCATGTAGTGGTGAGAGCAAGTGACAAGGTTAGGCTAGTTGTATGTACATGTGCCCATATGAGACTCCAGCTGGTAGTGTGCACATGTATGTGGTGTAGAGGTCAGTTGCAGGTGCAAACACTGTGGTGGAGACAAGTGATAGGGTGGGTGGGTTGGTTGTATGCATATATTCAGCTGTGGGAGCCAAGGCTGGTGGTTATACATATGTGGAGCTATATGGGCCATATGTGGGCACAATGGATGCCTGTGATAGGGGTTGGTACTTCTGTGTGCATGTATAGCTATAGGGACCAATTGTGGGTGCGTGTATGGTAGGGGGACCAATGATGGGAGTTAGGGCTGTCTGCTTGTGTAGGTGCAACTGTAGGAGCTAGGAATGTGTTAGGGTTGTCTGCTTGTGTAGGTGCAACTGTAGGAGCTGGGAATAAATCATGCATGTGATTGCATGATTTAGCTATAGACATATGCTTGGTTGTGAGACCTGGTGATGGTAGTTCAGTCCAGCTGTTCCTATGTAGATGGCTGAGGGGTTAGACATGGATGCACATGTGGTGGTGAGGAATGGGTTTGTAGCAGAGGCTCAGGCCATTCTGGGACAAATATACATTTATTATGGCTATGCTGGGATTCCTAGACTTGGGCACTCACATTAACAACAGCTGGGTTTTTTTTTGTTTTTTATTTTTTGGAGGAGGAGGTGGGGAGTGGGACAATGACTCAACCACCTAGAAACTGTGAAAGTGAAAAGCTTCGGTATACTCAGTGCAGAAAGTGTAGGGGACCCCTGTGGCTGTGCTAGTTATTCATTTTCTCAGTAGCAAAACCGGCTAGTGACCTCAAAGAGCAGGTTTCTGGGGTCCACAATGGTGAAACTGTGGGGTCCCTGGCAATGAAAGCTGGAGGGAGGCACTGTGTGGTGCTTATGAGGGCTGTTGAGGTCCTCAGAGGAGAAGGCTTCTGGGGTCCTATGCAGAACATGCTGGCATCTGCCTAATGGCTGGTCTTGATAACTCCCACCCTTCTTTGTACCCAATTGTCTATAGATGTCTCAGCTATGCTGCTCTCCTCAACAATTTGGGTGGGGCAAAACTGAAATGGGTCATTTGGGGAGTGCTATGAAAAGCTGGGGAAGTGGAATGTACACTCACTCTCCTTTCCTTTGCAAGGGGATCTTGAAAGCTGGGGAGTTCCCTCTCTGTGCTGAGTAGTAAGGGGGATGGAATGATGTAAACGAAATAAAGCTATTCTTCCTGTACTTTTTATGCACTTGTTCTCATTTTTTTCTTCCACTACATTGCTGTTGCTACTTAATCGGGCCCTTGAGTTCTCCTAGAACTATTTTTATTCATATATAGCTGTCCAATTGTTGTTTTTTGTGAAGGGAAGAAAAGCTGGGGTCTCTTACTCTGCCATCTTGTTGACATCACCCACACTGCCATGCACCCCTATGAATTGTGATCGAGGAAAAGCAATCTGATGTTAAGACCTTAATGCCAACTCTCAGGGAACCTGGGTTCCAGTTCCAACTCTGTCATCAGTGTGAAAGTATTATGAAGCAAGCTCTTTATATTTAGACTCAGTGTTTCTAATTGTTCAATGGAAATGAGGATCCAAGCCCTGCCTATCTCAGAGAAACTGGCCAAGTGCCATCAGATGGGAACCTGTAAACCATCTAAAATGGGTACAGAATGTCCCAAAAGAGAGGTAGTTAATCAAATCTATAGCTACCTGCTTACCAATTTAGCCTAGAAATCCACAGAGTGAGTAAACCTCATATCCCAATCACCCATGTAAATATCTAACAATTATAGCACCATTAATTTAGTTCTCTTTATATGCTGGGTACCTTGTAATCTTTCTCTTTACACACACTATTTCTTCTTGTAGCCTCAAAATCCTACAATGAGGTAGGGATTGCTATTTCCATGGTTTCATGGGGTAGCAATCTAAAGGCGGAGGACCTTGGGTGGGAAGAGTTTGAATCACTAGTTAAAGACATGTCAGGCTGACTCTATGCAGTGTCTGCCATCCTCCCAGCTGCCTTTCTTTTCCCCATAAGCAAAAGCCTGTCAGGTTAGAATAGTTAGGAGGGATCTCCCTGAAGCCAAAGGGTGTGGGAGGGGATTTGGCCTCAAGGAGTAGGCCCTCAGCTCAGCAGTACTTTCACTTCTGTGCATGCAAAGAACTTCTTCAAGGAGGCAGAGAGGTCACTGGGAGAAGTGATGGATAAGGGGCAACTGGGAAGCTCATTAGAATGGGAGTGACTTCTCTATCTGCCCCTAGGTCCTGCCTTTGTTACTAGGAGAAATGGTTTTGTGCGCCTTGCTGTTGGGGCCCCACTCCCTGGGAATGGCCACTCTCCTCTTTCTTATGTTGTAAGCCAAAGTTGGAGGCTGAGGCCTGGCAAAGGCCCATTACTCACTTTTAATGAGACAGCCAGGGAAATAAATTGGCATATGTTAGTGAAATGGCTCATCAAGGTGAGTAATTATCTTCATGACTGGGGCAGTTTACCCTCCAAAGAAAAAATTTGTATCTAATCTCTCACTGGGATGTGGCTTTCTAGAACTAGGGCAGGAGGTCAAGTGGAGCTGGACACTGAGCACAGGCACCTCCACTTGTCTGCACTTGCTGTCAACCATGGACTTGTTGCTCCCTAAATTCCAAAGCTTTTGTGGATAGACTATAATTGACCTCAGAGGAATAGAAAACCAGAGGAGAGACATGCAAAATGGTTGTTTTATATTTTATAGTGTGGCATGTGTGTATCTAGGTGGTGGGGACAGGGTAGCTATCCCACAGAGCCTGTGGGAGAAGCTCTCAGGAAATGGTTCTGACAGCTTTACTAATGAAACTTACCCTTTTCTTAGTTCTGAATGAAACTTTAATTAAAATCCCGTTTTTCCTCCTCTGCTTTCTTATGTGGTAATATTGTGTCCTACACAATTAACTAGGGATATCCAGGTGTGTAATTGTAGTTTTCATGTGTAGGCATTTTATAGGAAAATTACCTCATTACTATTTTTTCTGTCTTCTGAATACTGGTTGTGTTTTCCAAGACAGATCAAACGGTACTTGAGACCAAGGATGGGGTTGTCTCCTTGGCTTTCACCCCTCTAGCTTCCACTGATGCTTCAGGATGCAGAAAATTAGATCATAGAGTATGTTTCTCCTTAGTCTCAATATCAAGAAGCACTGGCTTTCTTCTGAGGGCTTGAAAGCAGGTGACTGCTCTTATTTCCTTCAGTGCCCTGGCTACCAGGAGACTCAGAACTAATTTGTTGCCTCACCTTGGCTCATGATGATTTGTGAACTAACTTTGCCCTTGATACCACTTGATTGTCCTTTTCCTTTTCTTCATTAGACATCTAGTTCCATGTGGACAGCCCATGTCTGCTTTGAGCTCTGCTCTATCTTCATCCCAGCGTCCAACACTCCCAGGACTGGCACTCAATAAATAATTACCAAATGAATGAACTTCAAATTTTGCAACATTTACATCTTCACATGTAAAAATCTTATTTGAAGCAAAGCAGGAAGCACATACAGAACTCCATGCACTCATATTAATAACTGAACAATGTGCTTGGCAAATAACTATTATTTGACATAATTATGGTATTGAAAATCACAGTCAATGTAGGCTGAGTTGATTGGGCCTCCAGTTGTGGTGTTTACAATACAGCAAGTTTTTTATGGTGACAGGCAAATATCTAAATGGTTTATGCAACTGTTTTTAGTTCAGTTCAGTCTGGGATTGGGCTGTGGTGGGAGGATTCTTTCAGTCTCACAAGGGTTGAATTTCTTTCTAAGGTTTCTGAATAGATCTATGGTTTTGAAGGTGTTTCAAAATCCTCACATTCTCTGTTAGCATCTCTTTGGGAGCTGGAATCAAATTATTGTGGTGGAAGGTGATTTTCTAACTTGTTATATAAGAAAGGGACCTAGATATGGCCAACCTTATGGCAAGGCTCACATTGGGATGACAACTAGAAAATTCTACCAGGAAATCAACTACCTTCAGTATCCAGATGTGAGGCAATGTGAGGTTTACGGACTGTGTTCAGTGAGTAGGTTTCTGAGGTCTCCTGGGGTTGTTTGTAGACCTACCAGGTCTGCTAATCATGTAAGGCCACACCTTGGAGTGCAGGACTGAGTCCTGGATTATAGAGCTTAGGCCAAGGATGGCAAGAAAGGTATCACTTGCCAATCACATTCATAGCCTCCAATTTGGCCTTCAGAGTAGGGGTGGTAGATTTGTTTCCCTGACCCCACTGGGGTACCCTCAAGACACTTACCATTTCTGTCAATGGCAAAAGGCACATCTGTTGTGACGATTTCATAGTTGCAGATCTGGCTGTACTGGGGGGAGCAGTCCTCATCGACAGCCTCCACCTGCAGGATGCTGTCGTAGATCTTGCCCTCCGTCACCACGGCCTTGTAGGCTGGCTCCTTAAAGGTGGGAGCAAACTCGTTGACATCTTTCACCTGGATATGGACCACAGCCCTGGGATCACACACAGGAAGGAAGGGATAATGGTAAAAAAGAATCACACCAACTTTCCACACCCCCTAGGAGTACTGACTGAGGTCCCACAGCCAAGCCAAGGGAGAACTCACAAACCATTTGGGGTAGTTGTCTGAGGGTCCTGTCCTTCCTCTCACTGGAGACCCGGGCCTCACCCTAGTGATCCGAGGTGAATCTGGCCCAGGGAGGCTCTTCCACATTCTGTGCCCTTTCTCATTCCCTAGCAATGCGTTTCCTCTTCCCTCCTCTCCTATTCATTCACTCTTCTATTCAGTAAGAATTGAACCCTCTTATTCATGTCAGGATCTGAGCCAAACTCTATAAGGGAGTAAGCAGTGACAACCCACAGTCAAAAGTGTGCAGCAGCACGCGGCACCAGAAGCCCAGGGACAGGTCCTGACTGGGTCTGCAGATGAGTTGCCTTAGGGGAGGCTTCCTGGAAGAGGTGACACCTGACCTGACCCCTGAAGGTAGAATGGGAGTATCTTCAAGTGAAGAAGAGGAAGTAGAGTATTCCAGGTGTAGGAAACAGTCTGTGCAGATGGCTACAGGGAGCTGGGGATTGGTAAGCCATGGAGCAAGGTTGGAGTAAACACAACAGAAGAGGGGCTGGGCAAGGCAGGGAGGGGTGTCCAGGGAGCTGTGTCAAGCCACTTACTTGTGCGACTTCTTCCAGGCTGTCTCCCGGGGCCCGGCACCACAGTCATAGGCCTGGATGATGAACGTGTATTCCTTCTGCAGCTCACAGTCGATGGGGCTCTTGGCACGAAGCCGCCCCTCCCCTGACGTCTTGTTGAGCACCACGGCCTCGAAGGGCAGCTCCTGGCCATGGATCTTGAATGCACAGATTTCCCCTGTAGAAGGACGGAAGATAGTGAGTGCTGACGATTGTCATGTTGAAGACAGTGCTTCCACTGGACCAGATCTGCAAACCAGACCCTCCTGCAGCTCCCCCTGTGCATGCAGAATTGCCAAACCAGAAGAGACTTCCAGAGACCATACCCACATGTTCACTTCACAGATGGTGAAACTGAAGTTTTATGCATGGACATGCCACCCATCAAGTACATCACAGTGGGCAAAGGTGAGTCATCGCAGGCAACTGGCTGATTCTCCTAGTTTTCTAATTTTCCCAGCATGTTTCCCACCAGCCCTCTGCCCAGTTGGGATTAGGAAACGTGCTCACAGTCAAAAGGAAAAGGACTGCAGAGGAAAGGAGTAATAGGCCAAAGTTTTGCACAGTAATTTGTCCCATGAAAACACCCTCACTATTTGAAAGGGTGGTCCATGAACCAGCAATGTCAGGAGCAACTGGAAGCTCCTAGAAATTCAGAGTCCCAGTGCCCCAGATAGAGTCTGCTTTTGAAGCAGATCCCCAGGTGATTTGTTTGCTCACTGAGGAATGAGTAGTACAGATCTTGTCCTTCCTTTACTTCCGGTTTCAATACCCTGCATTGCTGCACCCAAATTCCCTTTACCTCCCCACCTCTCCATTATGTCTCTCCACCCACCACTTGTCCCAGTGTAATTTTCTCTTTTGAAATGGTGGAGGTGAGTCTAGGTGAGTTCCAAAGTCCCGTGGAGCCTGAAAAGCTAACTTCTTAAAGAGCTGAACATGTGGTGAAATGAATGCATTTCTCCCCTTCAGCTGGGCTAATGATTATTGTAACTGTTTCCCTGTAATAAAATTATAAAGCCGTGAGAATATTTCTCTCCTCTCAATGAATAGGTTTTTATTTATTGACCCCAACTGCAAGCATTCCCTGCAGTAAATGCCTTGGGAAGTGCTGAAAATTTGAGACTTGTCCTCTTCCCACATTGTCAGAATTTACAGATTTCTTGGGAAGATGATGTGTAGATGTTCAGAGAAGCTATTTATAATGCCAAGGGGTATGTCATTGCCATGTGACATGGGCAGGAAAGAGCTCAGTTACAGCTGCTGGGGAGCAAAATAGAGGCTTAGGAGGCCTGGCTTCACATTCCAGGCCTGTCCCTCACTGATCTGCTTAAGTCAAATTGTGTTGCCTCTCTGGGTCTCTGCCATATACTTGCTTATAAAATGGTTCAGGAGGACCATTTTGGGGAGGAGGGCATCCACCCTGACATGCACCAACCTGGTCTATCATTGTTCCAGCTGCACTGCTGAGACCAGTGAGGTGCCTATTGATGATGACACTTATAAAGGGCTTCAAGGTAGGGTGGGAGGAAAACCTGGCCTGCTGAACCAAGAAATCTGGAGGGCCCACAGGAATGTGGGTATGAAATAACCTAGGTAACCAATGACCAATAGAAAAGGGCAATACTACTTGGAGGCACAGAGAAGCCAATGAAAGACTTGCAACCAATTTCAGAGTATTTATGCTGCTGAAGACCTTTGTACCTCATCTCTCGCATCTTTCCCCCTTCATGAGAGAGACCCACTTCCAAATCTCATTGGAAGTTCTCTAAACGTTCTCTTTGGTCTTCCTAAATAAACTCTCTCTTTGTTACCCTGAAACTTGTGTAGGTTACTTTTACTTTCTGCTCCAGTTTTATTTTCAGTTCCCACTCACTTTTGCTTTTGATTACCATGGTGCCTCAGTTGAAATTTCTAGGTCAGCTGCGTAATTGAACTAGGTCAATTGGGTTCAGGGAACAAGAGCCCCAACCCCCAACACCTACAGTGCACACTTTGAGGGGTCTCACTCTCAGGCAAGCCCAAGTGCCTTCTTGCCTCACCCTTATCTGGGCCCTGCCCAGCTGTTCTCAGGAGCTGACTCTAGAATGAGAGGGAGTAATGTGATCACACAGCTGCTCTGGCCAGGAAACGAGCTTTCTACCCCTATTCAGGTAATCTCATTTGACCTTCATAACAAATCTCCAAGGCAGGTATTTTTTGTACCAATTCATACAAACTAAAAAAAAAAAAAAAAAAAAAAAAGATGAGAAAGGCTAATTATTTGCTCAAGGTCATGGAGCTAAATTTGGGAATTAAACCCATGAATTGTTGACTCCTAAGTCTGCACTTTCTACTCCACACCATCTCCAAAAAGTCTCATAACTTCTAAGGGAACCAGCTGGAGTATTGCTCCCAGGAATATACCATATTCCAATTCAAGTCTCACTCAAGAGACAAATCCCCCATCTTACATATAGGAAGCATGCCCTGATCTCTTACTAACAATGTTTTCTAAGCTGTTCAATCAATACTAATCTTACCTGTAGGCTTTTTTTATTATTATTTCATTGATCCTCAGTTTCATTATGAACATTCTATTTTTACTGCCTCCCCTTCTGGCGACTTCTCAAGTGCAGTTGTGGAATAATGGACGAGGTGGACAGGTTGTGGACTAGTTCTAACAAGAAGGCTGGTTCCCATTAGCACCTGTTGTTTAGGATGGCTCAGCATTTCTGCACTGCCCATGCTGACTTGGCTAGTTCTGTAGCCTTTAAGGCAGGAGAATAGCTTTTATCCAATCCTCAAGTTTAATTTCTGCCTGAATTAGCTGGAGTTGAATGGATGTAGTTCTAAAGTACCTGCCTTGTGATTCTATCCCAAGAAGAGTGCCAACATGAGAATGTGCTCAGGCTATTTCTGGGACATTCTCTCGAGAGCCCAACCACTGCCATAGCTATAAGGCTAATCAGGTCATTTTTCTCTGAAGAGTCAAGTTAAACCTAAAATGGATGAGGGTAATCTTCTGTTGGAAACGTCCAATCATGATGATAGCAGTTATCAAGACACAGAAATTCCTAACGAGAGACAAGGAGAGGAAGGAGGGAAAGGAGAAAGAAGAGAAGTGGAGGCACAGGGGGAAGAAGATAATGTCAGGACAACACACTTCTTTCTTTCTTTCTTTCTTTTTTTGAGACAGAGCCTCAAGCTGTCCCCCTGGGTAGAATGCCGTGGCATCACAGCTCACAGCAACCTCCAACTCCTGGGCTCAAGCGAGTCTCCTGCCTCAGCTTCCCAAGTAGCTGGGACCACAGGTGCCTGTCACAAATGCCCGGCTATTTTTTGATTGCAGCTATTATTGTTGTTTGGCGGGCTCAGGCTGGATTCGAACCCGCCACCTTAAGTGTATGTGGCTGGTACCTTAGCCACTTGAGCCACAGGTGCTGAGTCAGGACAATGAATTTCCATCTAACTGAATTCAATTCCATTCAATTCAGTAGAACTAATATTTTTTTGAGGACTTAGTCCCAGGGCTACAGCTACAAGGACAAACTTGAGTACCTTAAAACATAAGGATACCTACCCTCAAGTATCCCTTACCTACTAGAAAAAACAGGAAATTAAACAAGGATAACCAATGCTAACTTAGTTTTCACCAACTCAGTCTGAGACAGAATTAGTTCCCTTTTGAACAAAACCTAGAATTCATGTCACCCTTATTTATCCTACCTCTGCTCCTGACATAAGCATTTAGGTTGCAAAAAAAAGGCATTCATTTATTTCTCCATTCATTCGCCTTATACATGTTTATTAGGGTTATGTGCCAGACAGTGGTGAAGTGATGATAAACTCAACCAGGCCCAGTGCTGGCCTACAAGGTGCTTACAGAGCATGGGGAAGGGAAATAAGCAGTCAAAGAATCACACAAAATAATAATGGTGGTGGGGATATGTACATGAAAGGAGAGCATGTGGTCAGGAAGGGCAGGGAGAGCTTCCCTAAGGTTAGGATGGCTGGGCTGAGAGCACCAGAAGAGAAAATGGAAGACACCTGGGCCATGAGGAGAGAGTCATGTTCCAGGCAAAGGGAGCAGCAGGCCTTAGACCAGGGGTTCTCAACCTGTGGGTCATGACCCACAGGAACTGTATTAGAGGGTCACGACATTAGGAAGGTTGAGAACACTCCCTTAGACCCTGCAGCAGCAAGAAGCATGTGAGCCAAAGGGAACACAGAGCCCCTTGTGGCAGGAGTGAAGGCCATGGCACAGGGCCAGCATCATGGGCCTGTCACCTGAGAGTGACCCAGAGCCCTGTGCTCAGAAGCACCCTGAGCCAGGTTGAAATCTCTACTGTCTCCATATTAAGTTATTAATAATTTTATTTTTGAACTTGTCTTTTGTAAATGGGACAATGGATTATGTCATGAGCAGAGGAGATATGTGTGTCCACAATGTCTTGCTGCCCGTTCACAAGTAGCATTCACAATTTGGGGGACCCTCGGCTCGCTGTGGGACTTTAACAAGAATAAGATAAGCATGGTGTGTCTTCAATTGATTAAGCAGGAAACCAACCTCCTCAAGAGGCCACACTTTCCCTTTGAACTAGAACTTGCTTCAAATGTAGAAAGCAGCAGTGCCAAACCGAGAAGCAGGAACATTCAAGGAACCCTGCTGTATCCTTTCTTACTCATGTTACTTTCTGTCTTAGCCATCCACTCATGCTAAGAAACGATGGCAGAGAGGAAAAGGAAAGATCAGAAGACCTATATGTAGCTTCTTTTCTAGTGGTGGGGTGGGGTGGGTTGGCAGGGAACTGCCCTTACTATCAGTAAGCTCAAAAATAGAGAGTGCTGGTAGAATGCACACACACGAAAAAGTGAAGTGAGAACAGTCGACTTTGTTCTGTGTCACATTTACACTACTCTGGAAAGAATTAAATACATAGGCATACACGAACCACAAAATGCAAATTCTGTAATTTTCTGTAATTTCGGTGATTACGCATGCCAGTTAAGGGCTCTTATATTTACACTTGAAACTGGCATTGTACAACATAAAGATACGTGGCAAAATTCAGGTTGATAATTTTAAATTTTTCTTCACTTAGAACTATCCCAAATTGCAAATTGAAACACCATGACAAGTTGAGAGAGAGACTTTGAAAGAAAGGAACCAGAATGAAGTCCTAGGAAGAAGAATGT